TTCGAGATACACATCCATCAGATAGTACAATGCCGCCCAATTGCAGAAAGAAATGAATGAACTTGAGAGAAAAGAGAGGATTAGAAGAAGAAGAAGAAGAAGAAGAAGAAGTAAGAAAGAAGAAGATGTACACCAGCACAGACAAATGACAAGGATCTTCTTCTTCGCCGAACAATCTCCTCCTCCTTATCTCCCCTTTCTCTTATTCATACAAGAAATAATAATACAATGTTGAATAGCTGATCCAGAATCAATGTACGAGTCCCTCTTCTACTGCAGGTATCACTTGAGGTCCACCATAGCCATGGCCGCCTCCCCCACTCTTCACTCTCATAGGCCGAGGCTATGGCGGACTACTAGGCCTTGCCCAGATGCCCAAAGGACAACCCAAAGCAGCTATGGCTGCTCTAGCTCAGGCCGCCATGCCCAACCCTGCCTTGAAGCGTCTTTGTGTGGCTCTCCCCAGTTGGGGACTCCCTGCTGCAGCGCCCACCAAGGTGATGAAGATGGCTGCCACCATAGCCAGGTAAGTACCCCTGGCGCTCCTCCCCCTTCCTTCCTTCTTCCTCCCTCGTGTCCTTCTCCTTCCTCCCCAGCAGCGCTGCTCCAGCATAGCGCTGCTCCAACCAGCACTCCACCAGTGTGTCGCCAAACTTGCACACCGAAAAAGAGGCCGGGCTCTTCGCCCGGCTGGGAGATATAGCGGCCTGCTTGCCTCTTCGGGCGGTGACTTCCAGGCCACTCGGCCTTCCAAGCAACCGGTACCTCCTCCCTTTCGGAGGGAAACATCATTGCAGACTCTGATATTGCCCGTACAGGCCCTAGACCCAGACTGGTATCCACCTAGACCTAACCTACAACTACTGGGCCTCTAAAAATGCCACTTTTGTCTTCTTCTGCTCGGCCTCCAGTACCCGCACATCTACCCCTTCAGGGTGCGGTACCGGCCTACCCGCTACTTGAGTGTTTTTCCTGCTGCAATCCCTCAATGCCACGGCCACAGGTAAGTACCAGCCCTGAGGGCCCAATGAACGAGCAAGTGCCCTTGCGGGCCACACACGCATTCAAGCCAACCAGCACTGAGACAGGCACGGCCACACACACACTCAAGCTAACCAACAGTCAGACAGACATTCAGTCCAGCAAGCGTGCACACACAGACTTAGTAGCAAGCGGGAAACTCAGCAGGGCATTCAGTCTATGGGCAAAACTCAGAAATCAGCTGTGTGTTTCAGTCCATGTTTGGACAGGTCATCACACCTTGGTCATGTCGGGACCAGAGTTCCTTTTCAATTTTCCAACTTTCCTAGCCATTTTGGAGCCAGAGTGCCTTTTCAAAATTTTGAACTCTTGGCACTACTGCTTTCCAACTTTCCTAGCCATTTTGGAGCCAGAGTGCCTTTTCAAAATTTTGAACTCTTGGCACTACTGCTTCAGTTTGGGACGTTTCACACTTAACTCTCGCTCAGCCGAGGTATGTATGCCAGTGATCAGCAGCACTGTTCATTCCACCGGTTCAGGCTGTACAGTTCAGATTTAACCCTCACTGCACCACTGGAATCTTCAAGTGCTGCCTAGTTCAGTTCAGCCTCTCTGACTCTTTCCTCCGTGGTTCTCACTCTCATCTTCGTCAAGTCCTTCTGTTCTCTGCAGTTATGTGTGTCAGAGTCGAGCCTCAACTTCGCACGACCTCTCTGCACCAGTGCTGTTGTGACATGGCAGTGCCCTGCTACGTGTCAGCATGGCGGGGCCTGTGCTGTGTTTTAAATGTTCAGCGCAACACCCAAAGTGCTCACAGTAAGAAAACGAAAAAGTTGCTTCGACGATTTGTTTTCTCTGTCGAAGGTTCTGAGAATGAGGGACTCTTCAGCATCCATCAAGGAGATTGCATGAAATGTGTTCCTTGTCCAAGCATTCAGGTATTTGGTGAAAAGCACATGAAAAATGATGAAATTACATCTGTGATTGTCCCCTGCAAATGTGTGTTCTGGGCAGGTTATCCAGGGATATGCGTCACATGGACGTTTACCAGGTGACGGGATCAAGATAGAGCAAGATAATCCACAATGTTTGGAAGACTCTGCTGCGCTGTCCGAGCCATCCGTGGGTATTACCAGTTCAGGAGCTGAGAGGGCAAAAATTGCCTCCACTCTCCCCGTTATTGGCTTGCCTGCACAGTCCGAAACAATTGTAACACCAACAATCGCTGTTATTGATGCGAATGTACAAGCTTCACGGACTCAGCGCGGGAGTACGGCGAGTGAAGAGGCTGTCACAAATGTGGAAGGGAATGGTGATCCAAAAGAGGTTGCACCGGTGGCAACGCGTGGAGTAATGACGAAGGTTTGTGAAGCTGTCGGTGCAGCAACCGGAGAAGCCTCCAGAGCGGGGCAAAGCGATCAGATTAATTCTGGTAGGAGCGTGGCAGAAGGGCAAGCCCAAGTGCAGGAAGGTGGGACTGTGGGACAAAAGAAGAAGGAGAGGGAGGATGAAGAAGGGGATGTGGTTGTGACAGAGCCTGTACGGCAGAAAAACCAGGTCAATGGCGGTGCTCCACCCACGGAGAACTACGACTGCGGGTCTAAAGATCTTCGGTTCTCCCTTGTGAAGATGGCCTGCATGGGTGTAGTTATGTTCTGTCTACCGGAGGGGTCGTCCATCTGCCCTGTTGCTGTGGTCAGCCAAATCTTGGAAGATGCACGAGCAGGGCGCCCAAGGTAAATCACTCTCAATCACTTCAATCCACATTTGCCTCCTGAAAAGTTAATCCAACTCCTGCAGACACAGAGAAACTGTAGCCATCAGATAATCAATCCAGCGGTCTACATAGCTGGACAAGGGCAGACCTTGTTGAAATCGGAGTGGTTGTTAAAGGTAGTGGTGTTTACAACTTTACAGTACTGGCTGTCCAGCGACGGCCCTAGTCATCGAATTGCGAATCTTTCAAAACCTAACCAAGATAGTTGCTTGCGAATCTTCCACAAGAAGATGAAATTGCTGACTGGATTTGAAGCTGTGTGAAAATCGCTAACTACATTCAAATGTCGCCTTAGTGAATTTGCCCTGCAGTCGGTGATTGTATGATTTTGTATCCAACACAACTTTCTTAATCTTTTTGTCAACAGTTGTATGTGCATACCATTCAGATACAGGCTGAGATACCAGTGACTGCTGTTACGAATTCCGAGAATCTCATGTACTTCCATTCATCATCACACCTACACACTTGATTGAGATGAGATCACACTTGATTGCAACTCCACAGAAAATCGGAATTGAACAAACACTCCCAAAAGAGTTGATCAAACCAGAAAAAAGGGTGTACCCCGCCTCCCTGAGCAACGTGTAACAATCGGATCATGAAACTGTTCAGTGAACAGCAACTCTCTCTCTCTCTCTCTCTCTCTCTCTCTCTCTCTCTCTCTCTCTCTCTCTCTCTC